GTCTCTCATTCAGGCCTATTCCCTTTTTCTAAGCCTAGAAAAAAACGCTCAAAGAACTAAAAGAAAGCCGAGGATTGGCACCCAGGTCAATTCGAGGATTTGCACCCAGGTCAATTCGAGGATTTGCACCCAGGTCAATTCGAGGATTGGCACCCAGGTCAATTCGAGGATTGGCACCCAGGTCAATTCGAGGATTTGCACCCAGGTCAATTCGAGGATTGGCACCCAGGTCAATTCGAGGATTTGCACCCAGGTCAGTTCGAGGATTGGCACCCAGGTCAGTTCGAGGATTTGCACCCAGGTCAGTTCGAGGATTGGCACCCAGGTCAATTCGAGGATTGGCACCCAGGTCAATTCGAGGATTTGCACCCAGGTCAGTTCGAGGATTGGCACCCAGGTCAGTTCGAGGATTTGCACCCAGGTCAATAGCTATCGGCCGGCGCGGCGGACACGGCGATGCAGGTGGGTCGATCAGCCGCAGCATCTCGAGTCGAATCTCTTTAGGAATCCCGCCAGCAGAGTCAGCAGGATTGGGCTGTCTCTAGGGGGCTGGTCACGTCGACGGCCGGGCGAGGGGAAGGGGGGGGGGTGCCTGGAGGGAGGGGAAGGAGGAGGGAGGGGAGGGGGAAGAGGGGGAGGGGGAAGGGGGAAGGGGAAGGAGGAGGGAGGGGAAGGGGAAGAAGGAGGAGGAAGGAGGAGGAAGGAGAGAGGGGGAAGGAAAAAGGAGAAAGGAGAGGAGAAGAGGGGAGAGGGGAAAGAAGAAAAGAGGGAAGAAAGGGGAGGAGAGAGTAGGAAGGAGAGGAGAAGAAGGAGAAGAAGAAGAAGGAGGAGGAGGGGTAGAAGTAGGGAAGGAGAAAAAGGAGAAGAAGAAAAGAAAGAAGAAGAGGAAGAAGAAAAAGAAAAAGAAAAAAGAAGAGGAAGAAAAAGAAAAGAAGAAGAAAGAAGAAGAAGAAGAAGAAGAAGAAGAAGAAGAAGAAGAAGAAGAAGAAGAAGAAGAAGAAGAAGAAGAAGAAGAAGAAGAAAGAGGGAAATGGGGAAGAAGTATTAGTAGCAGAAGAAGAAGAAGGAGAATATACGGAAGACAGACCCAGAAATGGAAATAGAGATAGCGATCAGGAGTGGATTTTCCCGTTTCTCGGAGTCTTGGTTTACTTTCCAACATTTTCAGAGGGTAAACTTAAAAAAAAAAAATCGAAGGTTTTACCTCTTTATTTTTTATTGCATTAATGTACCATTAAACGAGGCAGGTTGGATATCTATTTTGAGTGAAGTTTTTGGATTTCTCATCTGTGCATTTATAATTTTATATTCTCTTGACTCAAGGGAGCAGCCTCTCGGAGAAAGAGAACAGAGAGAGTGAATGGCGAGGGGGAAAAATATGTGATAAGTAAGCGAAACAAGGAATAAGCGCAGAGGCAGAATTCTCCGGTGGAATTCAGAGCAGCTGGCGCCATCCCGACTGGTGGCCTGTATCCTTGTTATTCTCTAGTAAATTCGCGGGAAAGTGAAGCCAAAATTGCAATTTACTTCTCTTCCCTCGTTGCAAAATAGCGCTTTCTTGCGTTTTCCCTCTTTGCCAAATTGCGTTTTCTCGCCGCTTCCCTCCTTGCAAAATAGCGCTTTCTTGCTCTTCCCTCCTTGCAAAATAGCGCTTTCATGCTCTTTTATCCTTCCAAAATAGCACTTTCCTGTTTTCCTCCTTGCAAAATAGCGCATTTCTCTCTCTTCCCTCCTTGCAAAATAGCGCTTTCCTGCTTTTTCCTTCGCAAGAGGGGACGTTCCTGCTCTTACCTCCTTACGGAATAGCGCTTTCCTTTCTCTTCCCTCCTTCCCTTGCATGTTTTATCAAGACCGATCAACCGTGGCTTTTACACTTTTATTATAATTGCTATTTGAAGGACGACAGTTGAGAGCGTTTCCCCATGGCCGCCGGGATGAATTTCTGGATCACGAAGCCGTCTGGTCTCGAATTCAAGGTCGGATTTTTAACGGATTGTTTTCCTCTTCGGAGATATATAGATATAGATTTTTTTTTTTTTTTTTTTTTTTTTTTTTTTGTGTGTGTGTGTGTGTGTGTGTGTGTGTGTGTGTGTGTGTGTGTGTGTGTGTGTGTGTGTGTGTGTGTGTGTGTGTGTGTGTGTGTTTTAAGAAAGTACCAGAAGGAAAGATGAGGTTAAGAATGAAAGAAGAACTGGAGGGGGGGGGAGTAAGACAAGCTGTCCTTAATTGATCCCGAAAAGTGACACTGGATTATTCGTTCCCCCAATCCGCGCCGAGCTCTTCTCTTCAAGGAAATCCGTGCAAGCAGGTGATGCTATTCTCGTCAGACGCGCAAGCAAAAACGCGACCGTTTGGATGCAATGCGTACTCTTCGAGGGAATTTCTGTCTCTTTTCTCTTTTCTTGTTATTTTTTTCTCTCTTTTTCTCTTCACTTGTCTTTCTTTCTGTTACTTCTCTTGTCTTGTCTTCTTTCTCTCTTTTGTCTTGTCCTCTTTCTCTCCCTGCTCTCTTCTCTCTGCTCCCTCTCCTCTCTCTCCTCTCTTTTCTCTCTTTTCTCTCTCTTCTCTCTTCTCTTTCTTCTCTTTCTTCTCTCTCTTCTCTCTCTCCTCTCTCTCTTCTCTCTCTTCTCTCTCTTCTCTCTCTTCTCTCCCCTCTCTCCCCCCCCTCTCTCTCTCTTTCCCTCTCTCTCTCACTATCTCTCTCTCTTTCACTATCTCTCTCTCTCTCTCTCTCTCTATCTATCTATCTCTCCATCTCTCCCCTCTCTCCTTTGTCTCCTAACAAGGATCATCCGAGTTCGAAAAAATATCCAAGAGAGCGGTGAGCGAGAGCGAGCGTCTTAGCAGGCAGGCAAGCAGGCAACAGGTGTTTCAGGTCAGAGCGGGTGAATGAAGCTGGGCGTGGGTTGGTGTTGTTGCTATCACGCAGCTGTGTGACGTCACGGCCATTCAAAATCCGGTGACGTCACGGGATGATGTATGACTTGGATTGTACTCCTTCCCTCTCTGCTTTCCCTTCACCCCTCCTTCTCTTCCCGAGATGCCCATACCTGTGTGTACATATGCGTATGCGTAAATGCAGTGTATGCATCTGCACGCGCGCGCACACACACACACACACTGGCACACACACACACACACACACACACACACACACACACACACACACACACACACACACACACACACACACACACACACACACACACACACACACACACACACACACTGGCACACACACACACACTGGCACACACACACACACACACACACACACACACACACACACACACACACACACACACACACACACACACACACACACACACACACTGGCACACACACACACACACACACACACACACACACACACACACACACACACACACACACACACACACACACACACACACACACACACACACACACACATACACACATAAACATACACATACACATACACATACACATACACATACACATATATATTTTTATACGCACACACATGTAAACACGCACATTGCGATTCAACAAAAATGAAAACAGGTGAACAGAGAATTTCGTTAATTTACGGCTCGCAGCATACCACGGCCTTTACGCGCTGGCACCCTTGGGGAAGCCTGGATTTGCTCGTGCTCGGGTGTAGCTTTGTTTATGTGCGTGTGTGGTCGTGACTGAATAACGTGCTGCAGGCTCGCCCCTCTCCCCCCTCCCCCCCTTTCCTGTCATGCACGGGGTCAGCTTTGCCTGCATGATGGATGGGGCCTTTTCGCCCACATTTACTGAGCTTCCTCTTTCTCACGCCCGGCTGCGTTCTTCTCTCGGTATTGTTCTCCGCTGTTATGCAATATTCATTCTTTTCTTTATCTTGCATCGTTTGTACTCGTTTTTTTTATATTCTTGCTTTTGCTTGTTTTCCATCCTGCCATGGTTGGGAGCTTGGGTGGATGGCAGCCAGGAGCAGACATCCAGCAGGGCAGTCAATGGCAGTTACGAACTTATGTTCAGCAGGGCAGTTAGAAGCAGATATCCAACAGGACAGAAGTAGACATTCAGCAGGGCAGTTACGAGCAGACATTCAGCAGGGCAGTTACGAGCAGACATTCAGCAAGGCAGCTAGAAGCAGGCATCCAGCAGGGCAGTTGTGACCAGACATTCAGCAGGGTAGTTCGGAACAGAGATCCCACGGGGCAGGGCAGGCCGGCAGGCAGAATCAGACACCCAGCAGGGCAGGGCAGGCTGGCAGGTTTTTAATTTAGAAGGGCAGGAGAGGGAGGTGTGAGGAGAGTCTGAAGGGGGGGTGGGGGGGGGGGGGGATCGGAAGCCGCTGCCGAGGTGGCCGAGTGGCGAAGCAAGCGCACGCAGCGGATAAAGGCGTGTGTCCAGCGCGAGTGGTCATCAGCGACAGGTATTTTCCGAGCCACCTGTTTTTCCCATCCGGACAGGAGACTAATGTGGACATAAAGGCGGCGATTGGCTAATTTATCGTACCCTCGTGGCAGGATTGGTCGCTGACACCGCCGCCCGGCATTTCTTGCAGGAGGGCCGGGGGGGTAGAGGATGGGGAGGGTGAGGGTGAGGGAGAGAGAGAGAGGGAGGGAGGGAGAGAGAGAGAGGGAGGGAGGGAGAGAGAGAGAGGGAGAGAGAGAGAGGGAGGGAGGGAGAGAGAGAGAGGGAGAGAGAGAGAGGGAGGGAGGGAGAGAGAGAGAGGGAGGGAGGGAGAGAGAGAGAGGGAGAGAGAGAGAGGGAGGGAGGGAGAGAGAGAGAGGGAGAGAGAGAGAGGGAGAGAGAGAGAGGGAGAGAGAGAGAGGGAGAGAGAGAGAGGGAGGGAGGGAGAGAGAGAGAGGGAGAGAGAGAGAGGGAGGGAGGGAGAGAGAGAGAGGGAGGGAGGGAGAGAGAGAGAGGGAGAGAGAGAGAGGGAGGGAGGGAGAGAGAGAGAGGGAGGGAGGGAGAGAGAGAGAGGGAGGGAGGGAGAGAGAGAGAGGGAGGGAGGGAGAGAGAGAGAGGGAGGGAGGGAGAGAGAGAGAGGGAGAGAGAGAGAGGGAGAGAGAGAGAGGGAGGGAGGGAGAGAGAGAGAGGGAGGGAGGGAGAGAGAGAGAGGGAGAGAGAGAGAGGGAGGGAGGGAGAGAGAGAGAGGGAGAGAGAGAGAGGGAGGGAGGGAGAGAGAGAGAGGGAGGGAGGGAGAGAGAGAGAGGGAGAGAGAGAGAGGGAGAGAGAGAGAGGGAGGGAGGGAGAGAGAGAGAGGGAGAGAGAGAGAGGGAGGGAGGGAGAGAGAGAGAGGGAGAGAGAGAGAGGGAGGGAGGGAGAGAGAGAGAGGGAGGGAGGGAGAGAGAGAGAGGGAGAGAGAGAGAGGGAGAGAGAGAGAGGGAGAGAGAGAGAGGGAGGGAGGGAGAGAGAGAGAGGGAGGGAGGGAGAGAGAGAGAGGGAGGGAGGGAGAGAGAGAGAGGGAGAGAGAGAGAGGGAGAGAGAGAGAGGGAGGGAGGG